TATAATAATTACAATAATAATATTTATTGTAATTGCACTTATTCAAAAGAAAGTTTTTGAATAAATGATTTTAATGATTAACTGGTGAATATAAGAGTTATATTCACCAAGAGAGAGGTTTGTTAGAAACAAACCTAAGAGAGAAAGAACAATAGCAATAAGGAAAATAATTTTTAAAACCATTTTTTAAAAGGTAATTGATAAAAATTCAAAGAAGTTAAGGTAGTTTTGATTTCAAGATTTTAAAACGAATAAATCGTAAAAGTTCTAGTTTCATTTCAAGTTCTTTTATTATTAAAAAAAATCTACTAGATTATTTTTAGTCTAATTGAATATGTACAAAAATTTTTTGATAAGAGAGTAAGCTTGCATTATTAAACAATCTGTTTACTAAATATATCTAAATAAAGTAATAGGTGTTGCTATTATCAAACCAAATTTGGTCAGTACTCAGTTTTCAACACAAAAGATACTCAGGTACTAAAATCTGATTGGTCAGATTTCAAAGTACTCAGTTTTCAACACAAAAGATACTCAGATACTGAATTCTAATTGGTCAGATTTTAAAGTACTCGGTTTTTAATGCAAAAGATACTCAGTAGCAAAATTTATTAAAATAAAATAATAAAAATTTATTTAAAATTCAAAGTACATTTTCTATTAATTCTGATATTAACATTATTAAAAATTAAATCAATACTACTATTCTTTTCTAATACAATACTTTTAAATAATATTTCTCTTTCAATTCGTGGTCTTTTAATTTCTCTTTCAATAACTATTTCACCTTGTTCAATTTCAGGTTATAATCTAATCTAACCACTTGTAACAACCTCTTCAGTTTCATATTCAATCATTTCGTCTTCAATTTGAACTAGAGAATAATATCTTGTGATAGTATTAATATTATTTTGTTCGATCAAAGAATTTTTATTTCTTAATTTTTTTTTTTCTTCTCTTTCAATTTGATTCTGTTTATGTATTTCCTTTTGTCTTTCTTTGTTTTTTTCTAAGATTTTTTGATATTCATCATTATGATATTTTTCAAAATTATTTTTAAAATTTGTTAAATTTGTTTTTAATTCATAATCAGCTTCACAAATATTGCAGATGAGTCTGGTATTCAGTCTATTCTGATAAAAATAATTACGAATCTCATGTGTATTTCTCATTTTGCAAATTTAAAGAATCTATAATATTTCTTTTGATATTTATTAAAAATTAAATATTTAAAATATTTTGTTACATCTGATGCTTCTTCTTGAGGATTCATCAAAACAACCTTAAAATAGAAACTAGGATCTTCCTCTTGAGGATCTCTCAAGTGATCAACTAATGATCGATCACGAACTTCGTCTTGAGGATCTCTTAAGTGATCAACTAATGATTAATCACAAACTTACTCATAAAGATTTCCTCTTGAGGATTTATCAAATAATTAGATCATATATTATAGATCATAATTATATTACATAAATAATAATATTAAAAAATGTTCAACAAAACTAATCGAATTAAAAATTTTAAAATGAAAAAAATTAATTCTCATAAGATCTAGGAATATTTTAATTCTGCTTCTAATAATAAAATTGAATGTTCAATCTGTAAAAGAAAATACAAAAATCCTTCTTCAAATACAATCAAAAGATATTTTTAAAATAATCTTTCAGCTTCTGGTTCCTGTTGATTATTTTCTATTTGATTAATTTCTTCTTGTTGATTATTTAAAAATTTAATAAATTCTTCTTTATGATTTTTTTTTCAAAATGATTTTTGAAATTTTTTACACTTGTATTTAATACATAAGATTGTTCAAAATCAAACAAACAAGTTTTGATTTTTCAATACAAAAATAATTGCGAATTTCATATAATTTTCTTCTAGTTTTATTATCTAGATTAGAAAATTTTCTCTTAAGATTACTTTGAATTGTAGAATCTTGATGAATTGTTTGCTCATTTTCAAATTGAATATTATTAAGAACAGCTATTTTTTGAATAAAGAACCTATAATATTTCTCTTGATATTTATTAAAAATTATTTATTTTACATGTTGTTTTGTTATACAAAATTACATAACTGATCAAATATTCCCTTTTGAGGATTTCCTCAAAGAGTTAAATCATGTAAACAATTTACTGATCACAAATTTCCTTTTGAGAATTCTATAAACGAATAGATTGCAGATCTACAAAATTCAAATTCTAGATTGACACATGATCAATGATAATAAATGCACCAATCACTTTGTAAAGTTTTGTTTACTTATAATTAATAAATTTTGAACTAATAAACTTTCGATAAAAATTCTTTCTCTTACGAGTTTTTTTAAAAACTTGTTTTATTTCTAAATGTTTTAAAGCTTATAAAAATGCTTAATTTTCTGCATGCAACTTTAAAAAAATGTCTGACATATCATTCCAAATTGAGACTAAACAATCAATTTATAACACTCCACAAATTATTTCAAACGAACGAAAAAAAAGAAAATATTTTTCTGATTCAACAGAAGGAACTAACAAAAAACAAAAAATAAATTCTATCAATTTTGAAAAATTTGAAGAATTAAACTCTGAATATGAAAAAATATTCAGAAATTTTTAAAAGAAAATTGAAGAACTTCGAAAAGAAAACAAAGATCTTTTAGATTTAATCAAAGAAAAAAATGAAATTATAAAAGATAAAGAAGAACAGATTGATGATTTTAATAATAGAATGTTCTATTATTCAGATTTTTTTGGAAAAAGTTTTGATATCATTGAAGAAAGATATCAACAAGAAAAACTTTTTTCAACCTTCTGTGAAGTATCAAATGATTTTACAGAAGAAAATATTTATATTGATTCAAAAACTCCTTTACTAACGATATTTGGAGTTAAAAAGGATAATATTAAAGAAAATAATATTGAAGAAAGGTAGGGAGAAAGTGAAGAAGAATGGGAGGATGAAGAGGAAAATCTTAGTGATTATTATGGTGAAGGTTATGGGAATCATTATGAATAAATATCTTATTTTTTTCTCATATTTGTATATATTAATATTTGCATATAATAAAGTCATTATTTTAAATATTATTACGTAAAATTTTTTCAAGTTGTTTTTGTCGTCTTTCATCATCTGGTATGAAATATAAGATCATATCTTGCAAAAAAATTATATATCTTTTTTCTTTTTGTTCACTGTTATCATTTTTACCTTCAATAAAATCTCTATTTATTCTACTTAAAATATACTGTTTTTCATTATCGTTAAATCTTTTATCAACTATTTCTGAAACTTGGTCTAATGTTTTTTGTTCATATTGTTTAATAGTTAAATTTTGATTGTTAATATATTGATTTCTAATTATTACTTCTTGATTTAATTCTGATTGTCTTTGTTCTAATTCTCTTATTACATTTAATTGTTCTTGTAATTTTTTAATATTTTCTTCAGACATTTTTATAATAAAATAAAATGAATATTAATTCTATTTATATTTTTTATATAAATAAATATCTATTTTCTTTTTTTTTAAAAATTATTAAAATGTCTCTTGAACAGAAAACAAACAATTCATACTGGAAAACAAAATTTGATTCTTATGAGGTTCTATCTCACTGGTCCAAAGTTGTAAATCCTAACAAACCAAAACTTAAACTAAATGAATACAGACTTGTTGAAATCAATACAACTTTATTTATTGAAGTATCAACTCAGATAAGAGAAATCACATTTCTTACAGATCTCAAACATTTTGAACATATCAAGAATCATACTTGGTATGCTCATAAGCCAAAACATAATACATATTATATTTTAACACATATAAAAAAAGAAAATAAACAAACAACTTTACTATTTCATCGATTGCTTCACTCTGAATGGAATCTAACAGATTATTTAAATAGAATTGGATTTGATAATAGAGAATGCAATCTCAGAGATGGATCTAATAGTATTAATCATTTAAATAAATGTTTACAAAAAAATAATACTAGTGGGTATAATGCTATAAATTATCATAAAAAATTTAAAAAATGGGAATTTAGATTTTATAAAAACAAAAAACGATATCGTAAATATTTTAAATTAAAAGATGAAGCAATCATATTTAAGTTAGCACATGATAAGATTACAGGAAACAGAAATGGTTATCCTGTCTTAAATTTGTAATTTTATATATTTTATTAAATAAAATTTGATATGCTTTTGGTTTAAACAAGCTGAACGAATGTGAACGTAGCATATCTCTCAGCTCAAAAATTTTAATGAGGAGATTTGAATTTAGGGGAGAAACATATCAAGCCTCAACTCAATTTATGTATAGTTTCTTTTCATATCTCAACTCATTTATAACCCAAGTGATAGGTGAATTACAGGAATTCCCTTTCAATTCACTAGGAGTCCATATGAGAGAAGCTCATACATCTTTGTTTGAAAATCTCTTTTTGTATTTCTAGCAACAAAAAGATAACAAGAGAAGATTACTTTGACAAGTCATTTCATCTTCTAGAAAAACTACTGTATATATTTAAAAGTTAGACTTTCAAACTTAAACACTACAACTTTCGTTTGCTTGTAAAAAAACAAGTATAGCCAAGTTGTAATAAAACTATCTGAAGCAAAAAGTTATTTTCTGTGACCAATTCTGCTTCTATACTATGTTCTCATTCACGATAATATTACTAAAGGAGATGCTTTAGCATAGTTTAGACCAAAGTTGTTATGTACTTCACTGACAAAAAGTCAGCTTCTCTCTTTGGATTTGCTACAGCCTGGTTTAAACTTTAGAATTACATATCATGTACGTGAATAAAAAATGTGTAATCATCAAAGCGAAAAGAGGTAAGAAATCATAAAAATCAGAAATCGATG